TTTTTCTAGATTTTCTGAAATTCCGCTCCGTAGAATTTTTTTAAACTATCTGTGTATTTTCCTTTTCAGGTGCCAAATGCAATCACTGAAAAAAAAAAAAACCTGGGGTCACCGGATTAGTTTTCGAATTATTTAAGCCACGAGCTAAAAAATGCGCCTGAATAAGCCTATGATAGCGTTGCCATAGAAACTACTAGTGACGAAATGACACCTATTTTTGAATAACCAATGATTATATAATTCAACCCTGTAAAAGTGTTCAACTGCCCTTGGTCAGTCTTTTTGTTATATTCTTTCAAAGTTTCAAACCCTCAAAAAGATGAAAACTGGTACCGGCCACCTTAAGTCTAAAACGGGACCGTTTCATTTAATTTTGACATCACGGAAGGCTTTTAAAAATCACCAATATTTCAAAATCCAAATATCGCATTTTGTAGCACATTTTCGATCATGATTTTCAACATGCGGTATGACTCAGAATCAGTTCAGGTTATGCTCATGATTAGTGGAAATAGTGTTGTTTTCGAGGATATAAAAATTCAACCTACTCAAGCGTTTGTCACGCAAGGTCGAAATATTTACAATCCCAAAAACACATCGGATTGTTCCCTTCTTGCGGTTTTTTTGGGCCCCGAGAATAACACTTTTAAAAAACTTGTTTATTAGATAAATACTGAATATGTTACCTTGGAAGAGTGTTTCCCTGAGAGGCAGAGATACAACTGTACGAGGACTCGACCCCCTTCCCCCCCCCCGGTTGAAAACTCATATGTTAACTATTTTAACGGAGCATCATTAGACTCAGTTAAGAGTGAAAGATAACACTGTGGCACGATTTTTCTCGGTGATTATTATCAAATAGATGACATCGTTAGGTGGAGGGATACTGAAAGTATTATGCTAGAAGGAAAAATGATGCATCGATCGATTTGAAGCTTCAACATCGCCTCCCTTCAGGAATTCTAACTTGTGAAGATTGGTTCCAGCCCCCCAACCCTTCCTAGGCGAGAATCATGTTCAAATGCCATGCTCAGGTGCTAGATGTTAGTGGTTCTCAGTGGGGTTAACAGTTAGCCGTAAAACGGCAAAAAATAGCCGTTAGGCGTAAAAATCGACAAATTTTAACCGTGATTCCTAAAACAAATGTAACCGTAAAAAAATTCGCGTTAGCCATATAAAATGGCCAATAAAATGTAACCATTAGCAGTGAAAGCCATCTTTCCATTGAGACCCTCATTTCACCGTCACATTTTTCTTAAAAGGCATGGCCAGCAACTGATTTGACAAAGCGGACGTAAAGACAGCAGAGTGACAATAACTCTCAATAAAGAAACGACATTTAAAATTTAAATTTATCCTTATAACAACAAATAAATTAGACCTAAAAAATGTAAAGTAATGCTAGTACACCTACACAGTATGAATAGATTAATAAACCATAACCCTAAACCCTAGCCATAATTAAACAGTACTTAAAAGCGTATTTCAAACGAGTTTACGTTCCATTAAATGTAACTTAATCAAATACTTTTGTTTACACGTATCAGCTTAAACCTATATTAAAGTTTAGCCTTAAGATAGTATAAGCTCGGTTTAAGGCAGACTTAAACCGGTCTATAAGTTGCTTCAACCTCAACTTAAACTTAGTAAACTTGAATTTAAGACGGGATTAATCCACGTTTAAGACAACTGAAATAAGCTTTTTTGCCTTGTGAATTCCACGGAAGCGGTCGTAAGCCGTATATTTTTGTTCGCGAAAGCTGAGAAGTTAGAATTCAGGAAGTTATCCCGAACAGTATGATAAAATACTTAGTAACATCGCTTGCTTGAGCTGTATTGGGAAATATTGGCCCTCGGAAATTTTTGTATCAACCCCGCTGCGCTCGCTCCATAGTACCACATGCACGATTTCGGGCCAATAATCTTCAGTATGGCCCTCGCGCTTGGTTTATATGAAGTAATTCTTTGCGGCAACTGCTCATTTGTCTTCCTTTCCACAGCCTCTGTAATTAAGAAGGCTGACATATTAAGCCTGTAAGCAAACCACAAATCCGAGATGTAAAGAAAATCCGGAACAACATAATGCGCCATTTTGGCAGTTTGATTAGACTGGCGCTTCGCAGCATTTTGGAAATCTTCCTCGAAGTGATAATTTAACAATGAAAAGCTGAAAAAAAGGGTTAGCTAGAAAATTATCCTCAAAAATGCTTTACTAATTCTGCGATAAGGCCTGTGCGTTTTTCCTTAAGAATGGCTGGATAACTCTTCTAGAATGCACGGCATCTGTGTGACCCTCTCCTTCATCCAACGCTTAAAAATCAAGTGATGCCCGGAACTGGTGATCTAGTCCGATTGCTGGAAAGTGTGTTAAGAATTAGTGCACGATCTAAGATTAAATCTATTTCGGCCTCAACATCGGTATTACCGAAAGTCTTTTAAGTGTTCAGAAATGACTTTACAGCACGATCGTTAGCTGAAATAGTATTGGCTGAAATATCAAAAGAATTACCTTTTTCTCGACTTAGTTGTTTTAATTTGAGAACTGTCTCCAGTCCAACTAATCTCCGTGAGTTTTGTTAAAAACGCTATTCATCCGGCGGCATTCGTGGCCGTAAAAATTACAAAACGGGAACAAGATTGAAATAATTTCAGCCTTGCATGACAAATGCTTGAGTGTGCCACATCTACACACAGATACTCCCGTCTTCAACGTCTTCGGCAAAGAACATTTTACTTTCCGTTATAAATGATTCAATTGTCCTCTTTCAAGTCCACAATGAAGCTCATGATTTGTTTCATAGGTGTTTGAATACCCAAAGAAAAACAGACACCCTCAGCTAGCCCAAGGAATGTGTTATTGTAAACAATTCCGCCATGGGAAATGGATGAGAATTTGAAACGAAAGCAGAGCTCAAAACCAATCTGCTGAGGTTAGCTAAGCAAGGCTAGCTTACTGTATTTATTTCCTGATCGACCACGTTGCTAACTTCTAAAATGTGCTTGGAATTCCGGATTTAACCACGGGGTGCCTAATTAGATTATGTTGTGACGTAAATGACGATGTTGCGATCCTCACAAAGTTCAGCATGGTTTTTCCGTGCAGAAATGAAAAGCCCCAAATTAACTTTTAATACTTGAAAACAAAACTATTTCCACTTATCATGCGCTTAACCTGAACCGATTCTGAGTTATATCGCATGCTGAGAATAATAATTCAAAGTGTGCTACAACATGCGATATTTGAATTTTGAAATATTGGTGATTTTTAAAAGCGTTCCTTTATGTCAAAATTAAATGAAACAGTCCCGTTTTGGACTTAAGCCAAACCTCAATCCCTCCTGCATAAGTTTTTCAAATTGATACGAGCTTGCTTTCTTTTTCGCTTTTCATGAGCAAAGTTCGTTTACCTCTACTCGGGGCACTGATTTCCACCATTTTACGGCTACCGACGCTCGTTTCCGTTTTGGCGAATTTTCTAGGATTAAGAAGCAAGTCTGGGTAAAAAAACCTTATCACGTTTTTAATTTCACTATGAGGCATCTCTGACTGAAATATGAGGATAGTCATCTTTCGGTCGATGTGCCACCTCTTCTCACGCGGTCTTGAAAAAAGTCGCTCCTGAGTCTGTTGGTGACGGTGTAATAACTTTGCATGAAGTAAACTAGCCCACCCGTTCGACTTTCAAAACAAAAAAAAACTGGCTGAAATATCTCTTATCTCTTTTTATTCCTTTTTTAAATATACTTTGACAGAAAGAAGTTGAAAAAACAATGGAGCGAGGGTATGTTAAGCGTCAAACTTTTGACAACGACTACTGGTTTTTAATAATAATAATAATAATAATAATAATAACAATAATTTAATATTTATATTGCGCAAATAACCATGTGGATATGATCAAATGCGCATCACAACACTTTTCGGGGGACTTTGGCCGGACTGCATCAGGAGTTTACAAACAATCGAAGGAAACTTATTTGAAGATGCCCCCTCCCCCCCTATTGCCAGTAATCTCGTGGGTGGGTTCTTTAGCGTCCCCTGCTTAACCAAATTACTAATCAGTACATGCAGGAGACGGGATCTACGATTTATTCGTCCTTATCCGAGAAGACTAGAATGTCTATCCATTTCTTAGCGCATTCTCCTCAGTTATTTTAAGACCTTGAGTGTTGGTCCGGCCGGGGCTCGAACCATCGACCCCGACCTCCCGCACAACAGTCCAGCGCTCTAACCAATTGAGCTAACCGGGAGGCGGTTCTGAGTACATACGCATACGCAGGGAAGTCATCAGCTAGATGTCTCAAAATTTAAAAGCTACTCACAAAAAAAAATCAAAAAACTGAAGGACCAAAAACCATTTGAAAAAACATTGATTTGATTCTCTTTGACTTGAATCTCTTTGAGCCTCCGATTTGCCAAATTTCTAAACCTTTTTCGGACTCAATTAGTCAGACTCAGTTATTACATTGAATCATGCGCAAACGGGGAGGGCAGCATTCGATATTTTAAAGAGATCATTGAATGAAGAAAAATTAGCTGGGTAAAAAGGCTAAGAAAGGCGCGATTTATCGTGTAACCATTGTAATGGCGTTATTTCCACGTGTGACGATATCTCGTTTTTGCACGAAAGCTCAGCTGGTATTTCGTTGGTGTTTGTATAGGTAATCACATGATTTCGAGTGCAATTTGGAATAAATAAGCACGGGTAAATTTTTTCAAAGACTAACAAAAGGGCGAGTGCAATTTGTGGTCTTTGAAAAAATTTACGAGTGCTTATTTATTCCAAATTGCACTAGACAATCATGTGATTATCTATTAATAATATACATGAAAAAATACGAGGTAGCTTCTCATAACTAGGCAGATGAAAAGTACGCGCATCAAGTGCAAAAATAATTTATTCAAACCCTGCAAGTGATATTGACCTTGACATTGACATTGACCACTCATTCTGACCAATCAGAGTGTCTGGTTTGTTTCTTTCTTTGCACTTAATTAACCCTCTTCTGCACCGAATTAACTCTCTTCTGCACTGAATTAACTGAAAACTGCATTCATCTTAACCAATCAGAACTGAGAAATTTTTTCATGTATATTACTAATATAATAAAAGTGATTATTTTCAATTTACTTATTACAGGGGCATTGAAGAATCTCCGAAGCTATCAAAGGGAGAGGTAAACGAGCAGCAACATTACTGGACTATCATGGCCCTGTAATTAATTTAAATAATTGTCAGTGATGTCATCATTAAAATCAGAATCATCTTGAATCCCGTCACTATCATAATCGGGATCAGCATCCTCATCATTGTCTCCATAGAAACAGTTATCATTATCATTATCATTATCATTATCATTATATGGCCATCATTATCGTCATCATTATTAATTTCTTTATCCCAATCAATATCATCATTGTCACCATAGAAATAGTTACCATCATTTCACAACTTGTCATTTTCATGATACATCACCCTTTGTTTCTTAGAAGCTAACCTTTATGAGATTTGTTTTAAATGTGGCAGACACTCGTGTACCCTGAGGCGCACGTTGGAAGTTATTACAAGCTCTTTCAGGTTGGTAATTAAACAAAAGCTGTTGCTCTTATAATATTTTTCGAAACACGAGGGTAACTTAGCTGTGATGGTAATTATATAATGTTAGAAAAGATATCGACCTTAGTAAACCATCCGTTACTGCAATGCATCCAAGTTTCTGCAGCTTGAAACAACAAGGAGCACTGCTATTTTTCTCCCGTTTCCGCAGGAAAATTGTAACCTTTGGTCAACTGTTAAGATGTTTAACTTTCCTTTATCATTTCAACATTTTTTAGAGAAAAAGGGACAAGGTGCCCAAAGGCTTTAGAACGTACTACAGCCGATGATGAAAGACAAGCTGCCGGATTTTACTAAAATGGCTCAAGTCATTCAGTCTAAAGGCCAATATACTATGTTGTCAGGCATACAAGCTCCAAAGTTGTTGGAAATTAAACATAATCGAAAATCCTTACAGTTGTTAAGTTAATGCCTTTTTAGATAAAAGGGAAAGCCTTGAGAACTTGCTAAGTTGTCATGGCACAGGCGAAACACTTCTGATTCAACTCTCCTAAAGGAATTATGATAAGACCTTAGATTGTTATTTCAAAAATTCTTTTTAGCACGGCCAAAAATTCTATTCTGTTCATCTCAATTTTAGAATAATATGACTTCGAGCCCGAAATTTTTAAAAAAAACTTTCTCATGAAAGCAACCACGTAAATCTTTAGTAAAGTACAGACCTAACTGTTCATGGTTATTTGGATTTTATTTTTTGGGAATCTTTCACAAATCTAACAAAGAAATTAATAACTTAAGAAACACCATAGATACCCCGCAATGGGTCAACCATATTCAATCACAGAGCAGATGAATGACTACAAAATCACTAAATTTAAGTACAGATTTTCAAACAATTTCCACGTGCGGAATATTCTTTGGTTTGATTATCTTTGGAAAATTGTAGGAGCTATCAATCCTGGCAGCTGTACGTGGCACTTTCTTCAGGAACTTTGTTGAAATGATCATAAAAGCGAAAATGTTGTCTTTCCATCATAGAGTGAGCATAAGAAAGATATATCGCCGTAGGGACAGGTGCAAGTTTTGTACCTTCTCCCTTACATCTCTTGTCTCAGAAATACAGAAATCTTTCGTGTTTGATATTTTTTCTTGGACAGAAAAAATCTACACATCATCTCATTCACATTAATATTTACGGCAGTCAAGATATCCCTGGTGCCATGCGATTGTGCCAGCCTGTAGATTAAATTTACTGATTTTTTTCGGCATTTTCCTGGGGACTAGCAGCTAACACGTTTCAACTTGAGAGGCGAGCTCTTGTATGACTCGCCTTTCACGCTCGCTTCGTGTTTTTCCAAGCTGGAGCTCGATGAAAAAAGTGGAAATAATTTTTCCTTGACAACGATACGTACTACGATACGCCAACTACGACTGATCGCATATAAGCCATAGCACTAAATGCCATTGTTAATGTTTCTTTTAACAGACAACAAATGGGTACAGCGTTGAGTTTTTCGTTGGTTTATAGTTTTTGATGGAAATTTCTTATTTTGTTTTAACTGATCACTTTTACCTCCCAGGAAGGTGTTAATCTATTTATCTACCTCATCGAGAAATTAAATGAAACGCTCTTTGATTATATAGTTTTTTTGTCTCTGACATGAATCAGGTAGGGTATCGAAAGCCTCAAGTTTTCCTGCATACTCAGTGCGTGACGCTGGCTGCATTTTTTATTGCAATCAAAGCCATGTTTAAATTTCGCAGAGAAGTTTTCTTTCCCATGATTACGTTTTCGCGTTTCATGATGTGTCATCCTTTACCATCACAAGACCAAGTAAGTTTGAATTCGAACCTTAAACTGTACAAAGTTTTACTCTCTCTTCGCGAATTCAACATTACTGCGCAGGCTATTATTGCAACTTGAGGGGTACGAGTGAAAACTCTAGACCTGGACAGGTCTGAGAAGCTGTAATTTCACTTCACTAGTGGTATTTGTGCGTACCGGCGCCGAGGTATCAGGGAATTTTTACAAATATTGGAAGTAAGTATGCGATAGTGAGCTGATGGTTTGAGAAGAAAAACCTTGCGTTTGACAGAGATGTTATGACTTACCAGAATTTGGGTCGAGAGTTTGATTCTGTGATACTTCGGTCCGAAATCATTCCTCTTTGGTGAATGAAGAGCTTTAATTTCACTTTGGTTATTCTCTTGCAGCTTTTGAGGATTTGTCGCTTCGATCTTTATTTGGCCAACTACTCAAAAGCTTTTTGATAAGGATTGTGATAGGAGACAAAGTCATTTAAGTTACATTCTTTCTCCTGTACAAATTGTGGTGAGATGTAATCGCGACGCGGTTGTACGACATGTAGGAGGCAGTGTGGCCAAATAGTTAGGGCACTGTCCTTGTAATCAATAAATATTAAAACTATATTTCATCTGATACGATGAATATATGGAGTTCATACATTTCATCTATTAAGTATTCCGAGGACATCAATTTTTGAGAAAGATACATCGATCCTTCAAGGTTTTCAATGTTTTTCTCACTTATAGTTTACTGTACCAGGAGAACTGCATTCTGCTGGGAAATACAGTTATAGTGCAATGTTCAAAAGGGGCACTCCATTGAGGTATCAGCAAGAACCTTTTTCATAGGGGTTAAGTCATCAGTGAAAAACTGGACTAATATACCATTAATACAAGGAAATTCTAGGCTCCTCTTTTATTTTTTTTTGTAACAGCCCCCTTTGCAAACGTTCAATACCCAAGAAACTGTCACCCTTTAATCACCGATCATTCGTTAACATATTGGACCGGCAATAGAGCATTTTGATTGGTTGATTTTAGTTATTGGCCCTCTGACTGCCCGAGTCGTGTAATAATGTAAGTTACCTTCTATCTAATAAATGAAATAGTGACGAGATATAGGTCTAAAAGGGATGCGACTTTTTTAATTTCTTGGTCATATCTACATGTGCTCTTGGGTATGCATGTAACCCTTATAACTCTTGTATATTAGTTGTCGTGCAGTTGGAAAGATGTCCTTAAATATCAAGACTATTTCTCTTATTTAATTCTCCGAGGGTATCAATTCTCGGGTAGTTCTCGCCGATTCTTTGAAAGTAATCAATTACTTTTGTCTTCATAGTCTCTTGCCACACGGCGTCATAGTCTCGGGAAATACAGCGGTGTGTTGTCCAAACGGAAGCACCCAGTTGAGGTATTTGGCAAAGTCTTTCACAAATAACTATTCAATTTCCGATCGTCACCAACATCGCCAAGATCATACCATCATTAACACCATTACCGTTTTATACTCCATATATTCTATTTTTAAATCACTGGCCACCTGTCCAGTGTGATTGGCTCTCAAAAGTGCGATTTATTCGTGAATCACACTATTTTTATGCCCTAATCTTTCCCCAGCCAATGAGAAGGCAACACTAAACTTGAACAACTAATCAGACTGCATAGCCTGTGTAAAGTAATCAATGAAATTGGCTGGGGATTTTTGCAAAGTTTGTGCCAAAAACCTTTCCTTTTCTCATAATTTTTCTTTCATTTTGAAAATTATGAGTACGATCTCAGACCAAAGTGCTTTCCTCTTAGTTCTATTATCACCGTTATTTAAATTGCTTTTCCATCTCAATTATCGGATGGTTTCAAGTCAATCGAAGTTATGATTCAGTTCGGATGTAACGCCCATTGTCATTGGTTGAAAGAGCGTGTTTTATCGGATTACAAAACAAGGAGGGGAGAGCTAAAGCTGTCACGCCATCTGTCGATTTGTACAATGTCCCACCATTTCCCGAATTTCTCTCTAGCTTTCTTTTTTTCTCATTAATATAAGGTGAAATTTTGAAACTAATCGTAACAGGAAAACAGTGATGGCAAAACAAGCACAGATCAAAAGGATTGTTAAAATCCAATAATGTAAAAAGAGGCTAAATTAAAAAAATCCGCAGAATTATGTATTAAATAAAATGTATTAAAATAACCACAATATTCTGATCAAGTAAAGACTGAAACTTCTTAAAATTTCGAACTAAGGGATAACAAATTGGCTTATTAAACGAAAACTCCAAAACGAAAAAGAACTAACTCTCTTTGATGTGATTGGCTTACTTGAAAAGTCACGAACGCCGCGCGTGA